AGGGACGGGGCACGGCAACCGCTCTCTTGGATGTAGTGGGAAACATTTTGGAGGCGCGCGATCGGGGGGAGGGCGCTATTCTGGTCCTATTGGATTTTTCGCGAGCTTTTGACGCTATTAACACCAATCTGCTTTTATCCAAGCTGGCGTACTATGGCTTTGACCGTGGTGCTGTAGAATGGTTTGCAAGTTACTTGGCTGATAGAACACAGTGCGTGCAGATCCACAGGGATGATGGATCTACCATGTCCTCGGTTCCACTACGAGTGCCCAGAGGAGTCCCGCAGGGATCGATACTTGGGCCGTTGCTGTACATCCTTTACAGCGCTGACATCGCCGGATCCTTTATTAATTGTATGTACCACATGTATGCAGATGACATCCAGCTGTACATAACCTTCAGGGGAGATGATACGGCTATGGCGGTGCGGAGGGTAAATGAGGATCTGAAACGAGTAATGGAATGGTCTGAGAATAACTCCTTGGTTTTGAACCCCTTGAAATCCAAGTTTATGGTGATAGGTACAAGGAAACAGGTCGCAGCCATACTGTCGGCCAATCCAGTAATTATGATAAAAGGGGAAAAAATTGAACGAGTTGAGCAAGCTTGCAGTTTGGGCTTAACCCTGGATCCAGAGCTGCGATTTGAGGCTCATATAAAAAATGTGGCAAGGAGTTGTTTTTACAGGCTGAAAGTATTATACAGCATACGCAATTTCATAGGGCTTCCTTTAAGAAAACAACTGGTAGACTGCCTGATCCTATCTAAACTTAATTATTGCGACACAGTCTATGGGCCCTGCCTACTTGCAAGGACTGAAAGGTTGATCCAGCGAATCCAAAATGCCTGTGTTCGTTTTTGTGTACAGATACCACGTAGACATCATGTGACACCATACATAAATAGGCTCAACACGCTAAAGATGGCTGCCAGGCGTTGGTCTCATCTGGCAAGTCTAATGTTCGGAATTATAAAAACCCGCAAGCCAGAGTACTTATATGAAAAACTCACTTGGCGTCAGACTCGGTATGATTCCGGTCTCCGTTCTGAGGTAGATCCGCTAAAGATACCGCAGCACAGGACAGCGGCTTTCAGGGGCAGTTTTAAATTTGCGGCGACTCGCTGCTGGAATGATCTCCCACCACCATTAAGAGGCCTAAAAGCAACACAGTCGTTTAAGTACCAACTTAAAAGAATGCTACTGCATCAACAACTTTCTCTCCAATAACTTTGTCTTTAGCAAGATTTTGTTTAATTTGCAAGGTGTGTATGTATGTACGGGTGTGGGGTTTGTTTTGGAGAGGAGGTTTTTGATCTTATTTACTGGCATTTTATACATTGTTGTTGTTTACCACATGAGTCCTGGCCTGCCGCCACGGGTGGGATCTCCAGCTGGGCGTCGCTGGCGCGGGTCGCTGCCTGTTGCCACGTGTCCGCTGTGTCCTGGTGCTCGCGGCGTATTTGTTTTTGACTTAGCTTGGCCGTCCACAGTGTCCTGTGTCTCTTGTCCTGCTCCGGTACTGGTATGTGGTACCGGTTCAGGAAATCCACCTAAAATACATATCACAGGATATTAGGTAGTGACTCACACTGACTGCATAATACTATACCTCTAGACTATGGTGATACCATGTACGTTACTACAACTTATTACACATTATTACATAATATACATTGATACAATTTGTTCCTAGTATATCTACACTTCACAACTATTAATGCACACATTTATTTATTTATTTACTTAATATCTTACTTATTTATTATTACTCGTTTGTTTGTTTAGATTGTTCATACTATAATTATACACACTCACTATATTATCAGCATGTTCTCCAAAAGCGCCGCGCGGTGCGGTGGTTGATCAGCGGCGTCTCTGCTTTGGTTGCACTTTCTTTCAAAAACACCATACACCACAAAGACCATTATAACGTTATTTTACTGTAATACACATTCAGATGCCGGTTTGTATAAACGGGGACGCCATTACCGCTTACCGGTACCTACTGCGTCGTCGCGTGCGCTTGAGGTTATTAGCGAATGTGACATCTGTGATTTAAATGTCAGTGTCAAGCATGCATTTAGTTCGCGAGATTTATTATTAATTACTTATTATTATTTTTTTTATTTTCATCACATTGTTTATTTTAATTTGTATGTACCTATATATATTTTTTTTTTGTTATTATATGTATAATATTATAAGTCACGGGCAAGTGCTGAAAATCAGCGCCGCGACTCGACCACACTCGTGTCGCGGCATTTAAGCTGAGCTCTGGCCTTTTTGCGCCGTCTTTGTTATATTGTTTTATATTTTTTGTTATTGTACCTTGTGACGGTGTGCAAATAAACTATTTTTCTTTCTTTCTTCTTCTTTCTTTCTTTCAAAATTATAAGCCAAGGTTTATTCACGATGTTTTCCTTTACCGTTTGTTATGATATCTAAATAATCTTAGAAATTTCTTCCTGTTGGTAGGTTTCCATCCTGATGCATCGGAAGCTTGCATCTTAGACCTCCGAGCCACCCAAACTGACGGTTCTCAGGTCGGATAACGGGGTTGGAATTGTATTATTAGGTTTATACTTTCAAAATTTCCAGTAATAAATAGTGCCTTGGTTGAGAGGTCACAAGTGCGACTGCTGAGCACGAAGCTTATGGAGGATTTCTAGATTATGTTAAATTGTTATTGGGAATTATTCAGTTTTTCACAAATTCTCAGTGATAACACAAAATCAAAAATTGTACCCGATAAATTGGTGAAAAGTGGATTTTGCATTGTAAGTCTCTGCCTATTTTTTTTTGCTGCTTGAAATCATTAATGCTTAATTATATATAATGTAGAATGTTAATATATAAAAAATCTAACTAAATTCGTTTCAAAATTTCATCAAAGGTCCAATTACTAGACATTTAGTACTCAAGGTGTAGTACAAATATTTGGACAGCTTTGTAAGTACCTTTGATGTCTCGCAAAGGGCACTACGCTGGTTGTAATAATACAATGACGAACTACTAGTTAGTTCCAAACTTTTGCCATTACAGACAATTTAGACCTAGACGAATTCGGTAGGTTTGTAATGAAATAATTCAGTATAGAATTTGGTATCTCTTCAGTGTTTTGTGGAAATATTTGAGTATTTTGGGTAATATTTGAGTATCAATTTAGTATTTGTAGATACTATTGTACTATTAGTAGCATATTTAAAAGTTCACAATAATGGGTATTATAAGCGCTAAAATATGTTTCTCTGCTTCGTTGGCCGAGTGGTCGCGAGAGCGACTGCCCAGCAAGGGGTCTCGGGTTCGATTTCCGGGTCGGGAAAAGTAATACTGGGTTTTTAAAAAAATATTAGTAGTAGCACGGAGTCTGGAATTGTGCCCGGTATAAGGCAATAGGATCATCCCGTATTACATGGGACTCATAACATAAAATAGTGAAATGTGGGTGTTACACTGTACAGTGGCATAATGTACACCTCTGCCTATCCCTTCGGGGATAAAAGGTGTGTTGTTATGTTATCTATGTTTATCGTTTTTCATGTATCCCGGAGATCAATTAACTTTCTAACGTCGGTCACCGGTGATCCCCATGACGTTTAATGCGTCAATATACGGGGTTCATAGTTCCATAGCCAAATCATTTACCCAAAATCACAGGGATATTAAATTATAAGTATAATACGGAGATATGTATGAAGTCAACGGTACATGATGCGGTATTCCACTAAAGTAATATTTACGGTGTGTTTGCCTGCATACCTGGTTGGTCCACGTCACTATGAATTAGGGAATTAGTCGCTTTAATAAGATTATATTTATAGTCAGGTCATTATGATTTATTTTTGCTATGTGATATATTTAAATTAAACCTTTTTTTTACAGCAGAATAGATCGTTTGTCGCTTTTCGTTCCACTGGTGTCGTTAGAACTGAGTATGGAAGACTGAAGATTTGACAAAGACCGGGTCGCAGAGTTCTTCGTCAAACTTACTAGCCAATTGCATTCCTCCTATTTAAAACATTTAGAACTGCAATCCTCCGTTTAACTTGGAAATGATGACAAACCTTCTCATGTGGAGGTGGCTTAAGGACAACCTACATTTAAAAAGCACGGCTCCAACCCGGCCATTAAGTTGTCATTTAAACATGGACTTTAAATCGTATGTCATTATCATATGATACATTTCGTTACGTCAACACAAAAAGCCGACGGCGAGTGGTCAGCGCGCGGTCCACTTGAAGATCGAGGCTTACGGCGCGGTATCGGCGAGGCGAAGGCGCGGCGTCGGCGCGGGGTCGGTGAGTTGACGGCGAGCCGCCCACCAGGCGCCAGCCAGCAAAACAACGTCCCACCTAGGTAGATATTGTAAAAAGATTTTACCGCGATGATCACCGCGATGACGCCGCACAGGAGTCGTGCTTTTTAAGTGTGGGATGACTTATCATTGCCCATAGCTGTTATGTTTTTTTTTAAACTATTTTCTTGTGTTTTGTTTAATTTTTGTAACGATGCAAATAAACTGTTTTACTATCTTTCTTTCTAATAGACTATAGTGGGGTATTAAGGTTACTTAATACTGTTAAACCCGGTTTTGGATCTCAATAAAAAACGTACACATTTCGCTGAACTGTAAGTAAATGATATTTTTAATATTTTAAATTCTTTATACACACATTAACATAACATTATTTCACCAACAATATTTAAATTTAGTTTTAGTATTATTAGATACCATACTGCTAAAATATAACTAAATTCCCAATATTTTTAGTCTGATAATAAAAATACAAGAGCATATTCACAACAAATTATTATACGTTCAAAAACAAAACAATTTTATAAGAATACTAGCGACCCGCCCCAGCTTCGCACGGGTGCAATGTGCATGTATTATACATACAAACCTTCCTTAAGAATCACTCTATCTATTAAAAAAAACCGCATCAAAATCCGTTGCGTAGTTTTAAAGATCTAAGCATACATACGGACATACAGCGAAAGCGACTTTGTTTTATACTATGTATTGATACATTTAAAATATTGGGCTCAATTTTAAATAATATTATTTATACCTTACGGTGTTTAATAATGCTGTGTGTACCTCACACCTAAAATTCGATAAAATTTCTTATACAGTCTAAATTCACGATTGGTCCCGATAGATTACATAGCAATTATTATATTAGCATTGTCTTTATATATATATTAAAATATATTCTAGATATATAATTAATAGAGTATAATTGTCTATGCGGGCATTACAGGGATATCCCCGGGGAGGGGCGGAGTATTGGGCACGTTCAGTCTTTTCTCTTTCTCATCCTTCTTGTGTTGGTGGTAGAACCATCTGGAATATGAAGAATTTTAATTAGCAAACACGTTGATTTTTTATTAACTGAAATTATAAAATTAGGCTCTGGAACCTGGAGCTGCGGACGACCTAGCGTGTTACCAGAGCTCCGACTAGAAACAGGTGAAGGAACTGGGTGGTTTTTAGTCATTAGGAGTCTAATAGTCTGAAACTCCCTCTCGCCTCAAGCGAGGCGGGAGAAGTCATTGGATAATTCCCTCAAAAATAGAAACTGTAATTAACCTCTTACATCAAACCTCTAGATTCCCGATTACTATTAAAAGTTTAGAGCATAAAATAAATTTTAAATTCTGTCATTCGACCATTAACATTCTACAATTTAAAAAACAATGAACGTTACAATTGTCTCAATACAGGTGCTAAAGTTTACAAACATTCTCAGTTACATTTTGACAACATGGCATATTGAAATCTATTGCTGTTATAAATAAGCATGCCCTTTGTTTGGCAGTTAAAATATCAAACAAATTCCTATGATGTTAATTGCAACGTTGTTTTGTTCAACTATCTTCTTTTGTTTAAGGATTGATCGTCGTATATTTTTTCTATTTGAAAATATATTTAAATAAAGTATAGTACGAATTTGTTTAATTCCTAGCAGCCCGTCCCGGCTTCGCACGAGGTAGACAATTATATATTTTTGAAAATTTGGATTGTTATAGTGATATAACTACAATAGTTAGACATATGCTACCGTGAAGTTTTTTGTAGACATTATGATGTTCTTCAATATTGTTGTACATTATTTTGTTCTATCGCTAATAGTGTCGGCAGCGCATTCGACGAAATACATTTTTCTACAACTTCGGTTACATTGTTCAAATTCTACCAAGGATCCCTAATTTTTTTCAAAATGAAATGTAGACTATGTCAAATTGGAAGAATGTAGCATTCTATTGGTGAAAGAATTTTTTAAATCGGCCCAGTACTTTTTGAGCCTATTCATTACAAACATACAAAAATAGGTACAAATCTTTCCTCTTTATAATATTAGTATAGATTAATAATATTAAAAACGCCTGGTCGACGTGTCTCGTGACCAGAGGGCTGGTCTATTCCTCGGTCAATAAGTCGAGCATTACCATACAACATGGCAATGCTGCCAGCTTTCTGGGTACTTTCCCAGTTGACATCGATGCGGAAGAATTTTTTGACGCTCTTTGTAAATAGTTATCGCGGTCGACTTGGTGGGGGCACTGCGATGGCCACAGTTGAGTTTTCTTTTATATTCTTTGTTAGTAGTTTTTTAGTTTTATAGTTTTAAATGTATTATATTAGTAATAAAAGAAAAAACTTATTTTTTAACTTTGAAAACTAATTATGTTTTCGGCTCACTCACGTACTGTTTGTAAACTGTCGCATGGCTTGAAACTAGTCGAGTTCCTCGTCAAACAGTACGTGAGTTAGCCGAATACATAGTGATTAAATAGTACGTCTCATGAAAGTTTTAATATAGAATTTCTAAACGTTGTTGATGGTGAAAGTGCCTCTCATTTCAACCAGGTTTCAAAATTAATGAAGGAACATTAGTGGTAGAATGTAGTTACGTAATCGCCACGTGGCGTGGGTGCCATAAGAGATGATATATTAAATAGATACTTGACAGGAGTGTTTTCTGATAAACTTGATCATTTTTACCAGCCTGCCAAGGGTGGTGATATCCCCCTCTTTTGTAAAGGAGGCCCATAGTCCAATAGAGTATTCTTACGGGCTAAGTAAAATCGAAATTGAGACTCCTTGCTTGCCAATCAACTTGCTTACACACGACCATTTACACAACGAGGCAAATAAAACTTAAACTCGAGTACTAGTATACTCCATCTTGGAAATGATGAAGAGCTTTTAATATCACTTTTCTTTGATAAATAAATGTAAAAATATACCGCAGATGTTAGCTCAATACCTAAGCTCTGAGAAAACAGGTCCCCTCACCATCTGGTTGCGAATAACGCATTATGAGTTGTCGCCGAATAAATAAATGGATAAGAATTTCTAGAATATTCTGTTTGCCTTTTGATATCATCCATTTTATCGGATTATAAACGGAGGTTGCTTTGTATTTGTACCGATATTGGTTTTAAGTAATGATTTTCTGAAAGTTCCCAGAAATTTGAAACCTCTGTTAAGATTTGTTTATTTTGTTCTGAATTAAACAGCTTCGTTGGTTGAGATGCAAGTTTAGTATTTTTAGTATTTTTTAGTATTTTTTTATGGCATAAGCCGGTAAACGAGCTGACGGATCACCTGATGGTAAGCAATCGGCGTCGCCCATGGACACCTGGAACACCAGGGGCGTTACAAGTGCGTTACCGGCCTTTTGCGGATTACGAGTTTAAGAATCGTTGGGAATTCAGGAATTGGGGAGATTGGGGAAGGTGAGGGTAATTGGGCCTCCGGTAACCTCACTCACACGACGAAACACAACGCAAGTGTTGCTTCACGTCGGTTTTCTGTAAGGCCGTAGTATCACTCCGGTCGAGCCGGCCCATTCGTGCCGAAGCATGGCACTTAAAAGATATGTAGTCGAGCAGAGAAAACGAAATCATTTCCAATTGTCTTCCTAGGTAATGGCACTTAGGATCCTGTGATCATCGGTCTTAGTAATGCCTACTAAATCTAGAGCGCTAGTCTTATCAACTAGGTACACCAAAGTAATTGTAGAATATTTACCCAAAAATTCCAAGTGCAGGTATGGTAGCGATGACACTGACGAGGAACACGGTCCCTGGTAGCACAGTCAGTGTTGCTATGTATATCCTGGAGTACAGCGGTGCGAATATGATCGGCATCACCGTCTCCGCCACACCGAACAATGAGAACACCTTGCCTGGAAGATTGAAGATAATAATTTGATTAGAGTTTTCTGAGATCATTTTTATAATCGTGGGAGTTATAATAGTTTTATTATGTTATATTTTTAGATAAAATAATTTTTTTTGTGGTTCCTTCTGTATATATAATAACATAACTTAAAATAACGCATAATTTATCCGGCAGGTAAAGGTGCACCCACTATTTATGAGTCTCACATAATAGCTAGTGAGCCTGTTGCCATATACGGGCACATTTCCAGACTTCGTGCTACTACTGAGATTAAAAAAAAAACCTACTAATACTTTGTCCGACCCGGGAATCGAACTCGAGACCCCTTGCCCGGCAATCGCACTTGCGACCACTCGGCCAACGAGGCAGACTTTAAAAAACTACAGCAGCTGTAGCCAAATGCCATTTAGCGCTTGTCTACATGTAGAATAGAAAACCAAATTGTATGGAATTGACGTAAATTTTGACACTTGTCAGTGTTATCCCCATACATTTTGATTTCTACTCTCTCTGAGACAAGCGCTAAAGTGGCGTTTGGCTAAAGGCCCAGGTATAACCTTTCAATATTTGGAATTAGAAAAGAAAAAAAGAAAGTAAACATTGACATTCAACACTAGTCATCTGTTATGAGTAAGTGAGACTTAATATGAAAGACTCAATCAAAGCATCGACTTACCTAATTCTTGATATGTGACTAATTTAGAAGCAATCGACCGTAGAGCTATCGCCGAGGTGCCGTTCAAGATTTCCAAAAGTGGTGCTGGAATAAAAAAAATAGCATTGAAAACTAAATCATTATAAAATGTCGAATGTAAATGGATTGCAGTCGGACACATGTCACCAATACTTTGGAATACTGCCAAACTTTTGAACGTCGTTTTGCTATTAGTATAAATGTAGGAGCCATTTTTTTGTGTGAAAAAAGGTGGTCGACTTTAGAATAGAATTCAAGAATCGCTGAGCATAATTGAATGAAATTATTGGTCAAACTTCAATGCAATAAACATAACCGTACTATATTGTATACGGTAAACATGTCTCTCACTTTTTTCACTGTTACCCGCTATTTGAACCTAACGGGTTACCGGAGCTCCGGCTCGAAGCGCAGGAGAAGGAATGGGGCGGTTTTTAGTCAGTAAGAGAGAGAGTTTGGTCAGTGACACTCCGGATCCCGCCTCACCCAGGCGGGGGCAGTCATTAGACGATTTTTCCCCCTTAAAAAAATCCCGCTATCTTGAATGCGATTGTTTTATTGTAAGAAAACATGTGTTTTAGCAAATAAATAATCATATACCTATTAGTATCATTTATAAGTTATTTAAATTAATTAACATATAGGTAGTTTTACAATGCCAAATTGAATTTGTTCGTCAGTAAATCTACAAATCAGAGTACTAAACCTTCAGATGCTTCAAATAATACCAATATACCTATAACTAACATCCATACATTACAATAATTTAATTGCCTTATACCTATTTTATTAATTTTGACATGACAAAACACGACATGACAATATCAAACTAAACGCCCTTCCTCTCTCCTACCGATTTTAATTCTTGTTGTGCCCGACAGGATTCATAATCTAGCCACCTGTATGTGTACATTATAGATGCAATAAATACTTCGTTACTTGATTGTATACACATTTGTTAACAAGCACGTACAAAGAACTAAAGAAAGAAAGAAGAAAGAAAGAAAAAGGAAAAAACATTTATTTAGCACCAGGCACAAATAAAATGTAAAAAAGACAATAAAGGTGTGACTGTGGAAATAATATAAACTTAGAGTTGTAAAATTTAAACAGAAGAATTAGAAGAGAGACGCTGACAACATGCCCTTGCTAACTACTCGATATGTTGTGTAAATCGAACCTAATATTTTTAGATATGTACCATTTATATACTCAAAACCACCCCGGTAATACCTCAAATCTGTAGTTGTTGTATTTGTAACTTGGGCATGAGTTTCTTTAACCTGTGTAGTAAATAAAGAAATAAACAATTCGTGAAACAAAACGCACGATTAAGTAATGACAATGCACGTGGTTCAATCTTACGTACACAACACTCAAAGTCACGATACTGTTATCGTTATCGTTATTACCACTCCACTAGAGGCCAGTCTGGTCAATAACCAATAATTCCATCCTTTGATTACTGTGTGATAATTGCAAAATCTATACTTGCAGTAAATAGACAAGAATCAACATAACTACTATTGCGATACATGATACCATTGCATCGGTCCTAAGAGGTAAGCAAAATGGAGTATGTGGTTTTTTATGGGATATGCTAAACGAGCATACGGTTCACCTACTAGTAAGCAATCAGTGCCGTCCAGGGACATCTGAAATACCAAAGGTGTTGCCGACCTTTTACAGCAGATGTATAATCATCACCATCATCAATAGACAGTCCACTGCTAGAGTATGGCCCTTCTCTACATAAGAATACCACATTTAAAAGGTTAAACTAGCCATTTAAAAGGCACTGGTTTACCAGACAAAGCTACTCCCTGGTTTATGTCAAGTGTAGTCTATCAGTTTTCAGACTAGTATGGCAGGAATATCAATGGTGACTTTCTACTTCACCTTCACCATATAGTCTGTAATATTTGATATCTTTACTTTAGGTCTTTAGAAATTAAGCCTATAAATGTCGTGGTGGCCTGGGTGGCTTAAGTGGTCCGCTTCTCATGCATGAGGATGCGGGTTCAAAATCTGGCAAGTACCAATATGACTTTTTCCAAGTTATACTTAAGTACTTTTTAAGATTATTTAGACACACTGACAGACTGTGTAAGAAAGCATCGTGAGGAAACCTGGATCCTGGATGAACCAGTGTGGTGATTAATGATCAAACCTTCTACGTGTGAGAAAGAGGCCTTTGCTCAGCAATGGGCATTCACATGCTGTTGGTGATGTTGAAGTCAATACTTACATAAATATGCTTCATAGTCATTCCTAGCGAACGCGAATACGAGGGCTCCACATATCTTACTGCTGGTAGAAATGATTCCAAGTACTGCATCATCTGCCTTCAGCTTCTTACTGAACACGCTGATGGAAAATAGTGTTCCTGGTGGAAGATAAATGCATATTAGAAAGTGATACATACATTAGTTTTAATATTTTTTTTAATTTTTCGTTTTTGTCTCATGTCTGCGTCGAGTTGCTCTGTTACTTATGATAATTTTATTAGAAAAGATTTTCTCTCAAATTATTTTATTGTAGTTTTTGTCTATCAAATTGAAATGGTGTATAATACAGTGGAAATTAAAAGAAGTATTTTAACTAAATTAGTCTTCACTATGATATTATCACCATAAAACATCTTTTCAGAAGATGACAAGCCCCTTAGCGCTTGCTATTTCAGTAATGAGCTTTTACAATAGTTGTTTTGGAAAATAGTCAGGTATAGTTCGAAATTAGTGCCAAGAGACTAATTTGTTACAACTCGACCTTTTGAAGTCAAGTTGAACATAAATCTGAATTAAAATGATGACAAAATAGCAATATATATTGTTTAGACTTAGCTGGCAGATGTCGCTTGTGAAATTAATAGTTATTGGCTTCTAAAATGTAATTCGTAATTTACGTAAAATGACCTTAAATGTACTTAAATAGGCACCAATTACTTATACAGATAACATAACATCACGCCTTTTTATCCCCGAAGGGGTAGGCAGAGATGTGGACTTCCACATTACGACACTTAATGCCACTGTACAATGTAACACCGACTTTTCACTATTTATGTTATGAGTCCCATGTGAAAATGAGGTGAGCCTATTGGTGTATACCGGGGACAATTCTAGACACCGTGCTACTTCTAAGAGTTTTTAAAAAAACTCAGCAATACTTGGCTCGAGACCCCTTGTCCGGCAGTTGCACTTGCGACCACACGCCCAACGAGATAGTCTAAATCTTATAAAGCTAGATGATGAATATTTTACAGCCAAGTTGAGGTCGTATCCCATTGTACGTTATAAAGGTTGCATTCCAGCGAATTTAGTACATATTTAGCAGTCAGTCATTAAAACTGCGACTTAATATTTCGTCAAGAATATCAGTATTCCTTATTGACTAATAAGTTCCAATGCTAAAAATGAAATATTAGCTCCATTGATCACTTACCGACAGAATGTGTGATAAGACTGTAGGTGGAGAAGATGCTGTACTTTACTTCATCCCAGTTGAAGCGATATCGAGTGAATATGTATATTACACTCATTTCACCTGTGAACAAATACAAAATTAATGAAGATGTTATCGAATGACATGTGGTTTATATGTATTTTCCTAAAATTCCTTTTATTCCTAGGAATGTCTGTAATAGACGTTGCACAGCAAAAACTTCAGAGCTGGTCTATTTAGAGTAACCGAGTCATTGGTTGCGGTAACCACTTAAAAGTTATTCAGCATTTATATTTTAGGTAATTTTCTTATGGCCTAAACCGGTACACGAGCGGACGGATCACCTGATGGTAAGCAAACGGCGTCGCCCATGGACACCTGGAACACCAGAGGCGTTACAAGTGCGTTACCGGCCTTTTGGGGATTAGGAGTTTGAGGATCGTTGGGGATTCAGGGATTGGGGAGATTGGGGAAGGGGAGGGTAATTCGGCCTCCGGTAACCTCACTCACACGACGAAACACAACGCAAGCGTTGTTTTACGTCAGTTTTCTGTGAGGCCGTAGTATCACTCCGGTCGAGCCGGCCTATTCGTGCCGAAGTATAGCTCTCCCACATTTAAATATTCTTGTTCTTTAGATAAATAACATTAATATTTCGATGCGGTATAAATTAGTATTCAGCGGTATACAAGCATACGTGTGTCGATAAATGGATGGATATTCTTCAAAGAAAAAAAGCAATATTCCTTCTACGCACACAAATAAAAAGTAGGTATAGAAGAAGAAAGTTATGAAATGTAAATAATGTCTGGTGTAGGGAATGATGTAAGACTTGAACTCCAGTAAAGCAATCACCTAGGACGGTTGCCTTGTAATTTCCCAAGAGATCCAAGAACTACCTTCCACTATGAATGACGACTCATACTTTGAACTTTTCATATACATTTTTTTTATTTATTTTGGAAAATTGTGTCTTAGCTGTGATTAGGAATTAAGCTGTGTTTTTGGTATTTTTCTTATAGCTAAAGTAACTATTAATGTTTTAATCTTATATGAATCTAAAGGTATCTATTATCACAGGTAATACCTGGTCGGGACTGCGGAGAACCACTAAGGTTACCAGGGTTCCAGTTCGAAGCAGGAGTTGAAACGGAGTGGTTATAGTAAGAGGCTAACGCTGTGTTTCGCAGGGTGCGATGAATAATTTGATGATTCTTCCCACATTAAAAAACGTATTATTGTAATCTTTGCAATGCAATGAGATTGAATTGTTTCTCAAAATCAAATTTTAGAGTATAGACGTTTTAGCTAAGGTACTACTAAACCTTGTGTTGTGTACTTGTGGTGCGGTGACCAATCTCAATATTTTTAATGAATTACTAGTCTCTATTGTTAAATAAACACCGTGAAAATGGTTCATTCTTTGTGCGTTCAATATATATGTATGTATTGCTGTTTTTGGTTTAGTTGGACTTTGTACCTACGTATAGAGGTATGTACATAGGACATAGGAAAAAGAGGAAAAATATGCAGTGGGTAAAAACCCATATATTTAGGATCTAATCAATAAAGTGATAATTTTCTTTGGGCGATGAAAATCATTGCATGCAAATTACAGCCCTCAAATCAATTGGGAAAATACGAGGAAAATTAAGAGTATTACTAACTAAGGAGATAAGGTCTATAATCGTGTGTTAATGTGCTAGTTATTTAGGTAAATCGTCCAAAGGTAACCGACCGCAAACCGCAATGTTACGTACGCTATACGTTTTAAGTAATATCTTTTACAAATATTTATTTATAAGAGTATTTTTATTAATAAAATGTCTGCGGTTTACATTTTTACACTGACTACTTATAGAAGTGATATTGTTGTTATAAAAGATTTACTTTTCCGTACATTTACCACGAGTTTTTCACCTAGTTATATGTATATATAAGTCTGAAATTAATAAAATAAATTTATTATTAGTCTAGATCATAATCTACCCCTGTTGATAATTTTATCTCGATCCCTTCAGCTGTTTATGCGTGAAAGAGTAACAAACATAAAAACACACACACAGACACATAACTTTCACATTTATAATATTATTAACCTTTTGAGCGCCAGTGTCACAAATACGTGACAAGCGAAAACGGTCCCTGAGCGCCAACGACACAAATATGTGACAAAAACAGCGGTACATTAAAACACGAAATAAACTATTTAAACATTACTTTAATGCCTATTTATTTATATACCTGTAAAATAGAAGGTCCAAAATTTATTTATTTCCATAAAACTAATTAAATTGCATTATAAATATTGAGAAATTTTACGTTAAAAAGAAAGAAATAAACTCTGAAAAAAGAATGTCCTCACACGCCAGAGTCATAAATGCGTGACCGCTAGTGATGTAGCGCATGTTGGATAATATCATTATTTTAAATCAAAGATCGATGCGAAACTTTCCTCTGGAATATATTATT